GTGACAGAACAAAGGAAAACTAAACTTGATATTCTGGGACTGAAAAGGCCTCGGTCTAAAGTTTGGGCCGGTAAGGAAATCTGTTAGATAATATTTAATCTGAATACCGCTTGAGTGGACAATACATTATTCTGTATTTATGAGGTGTAAGTGTATTTAGGAGGTGCCCAGCTAACAGGAACCCCACACTTCTGACTGTATCAAAAGTGTTAACCTGAGGAAAAAGCGTTTGGTTTTTCAGCTGCTCAGCTGTTAGGCTCTGCTTTACGTTTTGCACATCCTTAGCATCCGTCTGTCATGCTTGCAACAAGAAGCATTGCTTATTGAGCGAGCTTGCAGTCTACATACGGTAATCTCTGAGTCCTTCCTGAAATTTAAAAGGTATCAGCAATGATGGCATTGGTAATCCGTTTTAACCATTATTAAAAGTTTAGTTTATTAATAGTGATTTTGATGGACTAGAGGTTAGGAGAGTAGCTAAAACGGGGGTGTAGGGACACTACACCGTCTGCAGAATTTCAGATGATATCTACTTTGAGATTGGTTTGAAACCAGTGCAGTTTGCCTTCAGTATGCTCTGCTCAAAGCATTACAGAAATGCTTTTGGCTCTCTTGCTCCTGTGCAATGGCGTATCATAACAACACACAGAACCTGATAATTCCACCATAGCAACATAGAGAATATTTTTCAAAAACCGCGAATCATAATAGCAAAATGGAGCTGACAGTATGACCCCAGCAAAGTCACTTTTGCACAGAAAAAGCATTTAACTCCTGCACTCTAATTTTATCTGTATGTGAGCACGTTCAATCTGTTATAGCTAAGAAATGCCTGTTTATTTCTACACCTTGGAGTAAATTTTGCCTACCTGGGCAGCAGAAAGGCAAGGCAAGCATTCACACCACAGCAGCTTTTCAGTGCTAAATCCCAAGGGAGGTTGAATGGGTGCAGGCAGAGCAATGTGGCTACCGTGTTCAGACGCACAAAGTCCTTTGGAGGATCAAAAGGTTCGGTCTTTCTCCCAGGTCCTCTTGATTTCGACGCATTCAGAGGGACTTACCTCTCCCCTTTGACTGGTGGCAAGGACAAAGGTGCAGTTCAGGCTCTCAGCAAGCACCGAGCATGGGAAAGCTGCTGGGCCGTAGATTTAGGACTGGCATATCGGGCGGTGCCTACCTCATGTAGACCAAAGCCTCTGATTTAGGACTGAGTGCAAGTCCTGATCTGAGAGGGCATGACAAGTCTTTCTGAGAAGCTAATGCTTTTCCTCCAGTGTGCCACCACATCTGCTCTAAGACCTGAAAACTGCTGCTCAGAGCTTTCCTTTGTACTTGGTCTCCATCTTTCATTACAGTCTATTGTTTCACTTCAAAAAGTTATCCATGCACCTAAGGTGTTTCACGCTGCTCCTTCTTTGCGGTCGGTTTATCTAGTTGCTGCACGTTCAGTTGACTGAACACCCCTTTGGTGTTCACTTTAGCAAATGCTATTTTGCTGTGGAGCAAATGTCAGGGAAAAGAATAATTCCCACTCCCTGAAGCTAGAGGCTTAGGACTAGGCTTACCTTGAACCCATTTTCTTTTTGATTTCTAGGGCAAAATAATTTTTCTGCTAATTTTTAAGAAGGCATTTCTGTCTCAACGGCTGACAGCACTTTCAGAGAGGCATTTTCGCACGGAGTAAATTATATATAATAGTTCTTTTATTCCTTCACCAGGCCCTCAAAGAAAACAAGGAATACATCTGTTACAACTGTCTGCTTTATCTTGCGTTGATCACTTAGGATCTTTCAACTCAGGATCTCATTTTGCTGAAACATAGAGTCAGTTATAATAATATGACATCCTGGTACAGTCTAATCCTATTGTGAAGTGGATCGTCCCATTAAGAATGATCCATCTAATGAGATATAGCAAACTACAGGGAGCAGACACAGACTAACCACATTAACTGTTTTTATGGAAGTATTTTTTAAAATAATTATTTTGCTCTGCAGTTAGAAAAGACCAAGCTTTGAACTGCATTGAGTCAATGAATACCTCCTAATGCTGCCCTCTCATAAGCTTATGGCTTCCAAGGCATTTTCTTTTTAAATTTGGTCTATTTCTCTGCACCAAAGCATATTTTTCTCTTTTACTACGGTTGGCTAGAAGTGCTTCAGGCACGCAACTGGGATAATCAAAGCTGTATTATTCTCCTTGGCAAATTCTTCATCACACATTTGATATACCAGTCAAAGGGGGGTGGTTTCAGGCTAGCATTTCTAGAAGTGGATCACGTTGTTATTATTTTTCCCCTCCCTGCTTGATTCAGAGGAACCAGAGTTCGGCCAACGCCAGGAAATCTGAACAGCCTTTCAGAGCAGCTCAGCCTTGGCTGCTTCTCAAAGACCTCCACAGAAGAAAGAAATGATTTTGCAATAGAGGAAGGCTTTCTGAAGAAATGGTTTTCACTAGAAAAAGGCTGATTGAACCAACTTGGGGCGTTTTGCAGGATGTGTGGATTTCATTGACTCTTTCACTGGAAACCAGGTCAATGTCACAGGCAAGGATGCCCGGCTTCTTGCCAGCCTGCCTGCCATGCCGTGGAGTAGTTAGCCCTGAAAACCTGCCTCCCCCAGCCCCAACCAGAGCTGGAAGGGCTCCAAGGTCCCCGGGGTGCAGCAGCAAATCCCACAGGATCTGGCTCTTGTAGGGCTTTGGTGGTATGTCCCGAAGCAGAGGGGCTTTGCCGGTCTAGGGTCTCTGATTTCAGAGGGGCTTCTCCGCACACTGCCTGCGGGTGAAGGAAACAGACAGCTCTGTGTGTCCAAGAGCTTGGGAGTCCGTGGGGAGTCAAAGGAAAGGAAGATGGGATTTTTGACTTGGGAATTTCCTGGGGAACAAAATTCCAAATTTCCACTATGTTCTTCCAGCAGTGTAAATGTCCACATGCTCCTTGTTGCCTACGAGCAATATAAATGTCTTCTCACACAACGTATCATACAACACAATTAAATTCTGCTCATTACCCAGCCTATACTTCAAACTGGTCTTTTTTTTTTTTAAAACGATCTTGTTCAAAGAACTAATTACAAGGGCTGGATTCTGTATTATAATGCACAAAAGTAAGGACAAGTTGGTTTAAAAGAAGAGAGACATTAAAATATTAGCTTAATGACATGACAGTGTTTTTCATACAGGTGGCTCTAAAATACACGTAACTGGGATCACACAAACTATGAGTCTAGATTATTTTAATATGTCTATATTAGTTCAATACAACCACGAAAGGGTGAAAGATGTTCCAGACTTTTGTGCAATTACTTATAACGCTGACTTTGCTTAGCCGTACTGGCTTTAAAAGCAGTCCTTGTTATTTTGCGATCGCTCTCTGCACGGCGCATCGCATAGTGAAGGCAATCTGCGACAATCGGTATCTCTCGTATTGTGTTATGGTTTGTCCTAGTGATGTGATTTACTGATGCGATCACTGCAAACTCCAATACCTTGCAATGGGTGGAGCTTATTGGAATACCCACATTTGAGGCTACAAGTACCGTTAGCGCACACATTACTTCAATGCAAAATCCACTGTGAAGAAATAAAAAAAAAAAAAGACAGATGGAAAACCTGTAGTAAAAGAGTTATATGCAGGAAATCCCATGCCATGCACTTATCAAGAAAGTGAAGTATAAATGATGAATGGTGCGCAGCCTCTGAACAAGGGAAAAATGCTACCTGACCAGGTTCAAATGGCACTGTCGGAGGAAACCAGGTTCTTCCTTGTAATCATTTGCTTTAAATTGAGGTCACGTTTTTGTAAGTAAGTGCTGTTTTTCTTTAATCACAGCTATGGAGTTCACACCGTGTCCAATTGCAGCGGCTTTACTGTGACAACTCCAATGCATTTTTTGGAAGTCTGATTATTTTCCAGTGTCACTGGCACAGCTGAGACGCACTGACGCACCTCCACCTAACTGTCCTCCGTGAGCAACTGTTTTCCTCTCGCCGTGCCATTATCCGCTGGCTCAAGCGATACAATTTTAAGATGAATAGTCCAGACTGCCTTGACTGCAGTCACTGGGCAAAGGCATACCTTGCAGTGTGTAGTACTGACAGGAAGTCCAACATTGGAAGCTACCACAACTGTGAACGCCGAAGCCAACTCAATAGTGAATCCACTGCAGGAAGCATAAGAAAACACTTCACAATCACTCTTTGCATCAGCTCGGACTGATACCATGCAGTGTGCCAAAGTCTTACCCGTTTCTTCTTTCGACTGTTTTATCTCCGACTGATTTTTGTCATAGGAGTAAGTTAAGAGAACAAGGAAGGGCTGAATAATGGGAATGGCACAGGCTAGTCATCTGTAGTAACCCGGCTGCACGGCTCATTGCGTCAGGGACTTTTACTACTTGACGCTGCAGTGAATCATGCCTAATTAGTAATTTGGTTAAGCACCAGCGGAGGTCGAGTATACATCAAGGACAAAAATTACTGTAATAAATACATATGGTTTTAATAGTCTGAAGCACGCTGGGAAAGCCACTGTAATCTTGCCATTACCAAATGCACCTTCTGCCATGATAATTAGGTCATCAGCAGAAGACTCTGTTCATGTAGACCTCTACGCCTCAAACGCATTCAGTATTAGTTTACAGGGTTATCTTTTTTCCTTTCTCTCTTTCTTTCTCTTTCTTTCTTTCTCTCCTTTTCCTCTTTTTCTTCTTTCATTTTTTTAGAAAGACAGAGAAGTCGAAGCCAGGTTGTCATTAAAATCAAAGCACAGCAAATCCAGCAAACTGCATTACAAACAAAATACTGGAGCAGCAATTTCTCCGACTGGTTCACGCACAAAGTTCACACAACCGTAATGACAACTGTGCACCTACCTTGATGGTGTGATTGGAGTGAGGTCTTTACCCATGGTCTGGATAACTCTTCTACCCCAGACCCAGAGACCCACACAGATCCCAACACCTCCATAAAACAGCAGCCAGACAGGAGTTGACGCATCTTGCATTACACCACCTTGCTCGTAGATCAGCCAGAGCGCAACGAGGGGACCGATTGCATTGCTGGAGAAACAGGAAAACATCGCCTGAGTTATAAAAATGCAGATAATTTCTTTGAAAGAAGTCTCTTATTTTCTGCGTGGTTTTTCTTCATCGTGCGTGCAGCGCTGCTCTGACTTGACCCTACAGGCAACACCCTTTCTCGTTTGGAAAGGCTGCAGCAGGGGACTCTTATCATGCTGCTTTTTTCAGTCGCCCCTTCATCACTGATAACTATAGCAAATGCTGAAAGGAATTTCTCTTTTATAAATCATTTCCTGAAATGTCAGAGGCGGTAATACATCATTATGTCTATTCTGGGACAAAACCCAGTATTTTCAGTACTGCACTGAAATTATCTCAAAATTTACCAATTCAAGAGCTCTGCATCTTTAAAATTCAAGTATTAAATTAGCTCTTTTTGTCAAAGAGGGAAATTAATGAACAAAATTACCATCACAGACAAGAAGATACTAATGTAATCTAGCCTGACAACCCATAGTGTTTGGAGATATGATCAGAATGCAGCCAGGAAGGTGACTTAGTCCTCTTCAAACGCATTGTAGAGCTAGTTGGACTGGATCAGAGAGGACTTCTTGGTGACACAGAGCTGGCGTAAGCACTTTTTGCTACTCTGCTGCTGCTATCTAGAAAAACACTGGAAGTCAGCGACACTGAAGTCCCCACTCCTAACGCAGGTCACACAATACTGGCGGCTGGAGTCTCCAGTGCCTGGAGTGAGACTTCTGACTCTGCTTATTCTAAAAAAGCATCAAGTTTCTAGACATGAGTTAGAAGAAAAACTTGAAAGCTGGTATCCAGTTACTTTAGAGGCTTAAATACTAAAAAGCAGATAAGAACTTTGACACCCCTTCTTTTTTTTTTTTTTCTTTTTTCCCCAGCTCTTTTGGTAAGCTGAGTAGCTGCTTGCCCTGCTGAGCAGCATTTATCCAGAACCAAAAAAGCATAAGAAGCGAGGCAGCGCTGCACTTATGTCTAAATAATCACGAGAAGAACTGAGCAAACCTGTCCAATGTCATTCAAAAAGTTTGAAAAGCAACAGGAAGCTCCCCTCTTTGTCAACTGATAAGAAGAGCGGGTTGCAGCGTGCGACGCAGGCAGGACCGACAGCTATGCTCGCCCCGCAGCCAGGACCAGCTAAATTTAGTTCCTGGTCTTGCTCCAAAGCACTCAGATGGAGTAAGGGCCAGTTTTAACATCAAATGTTGTGCAAACCAAGCCACTGTAACTGACAGTTAATAATTTACTTGAATGCCATCTTTTCCAGATACGAAATGCTAGGGGCTGAGCGCTAATTGCCAAGAGACGAGGGTCCTCAGCATTGCAAAGCTTGGCACATCTAAGCAACACGAGACCCTCCTTCTTTCTTCGGGTCCTTGAGAAATCGAGCTCTGAACCCTGACAGGCAGTCCTGGAGCAAAGTAACTAGGAAGGAATTTTCTCTTGTAAATACACACAACAACATTCAAGCTGCGAGGCAAACGAAAATACTTTAAAATGCTCTTTGATATAAAAAGGAATGAATAATTCTTATGGATTTTGAGAAAGATGCTGGGAATAAATTAGTGAGCTAACATGGATAATAAAATCCAGTGCATTTGAAGACACTGGGTAGTATGATGAAGAACTAAATACACTTTAAATAAAGCGTGATTTCCACTAGCAAAAATACTTTAAAATTCTGATACTGTGCCTGAGTATGCATTTGATTTGTTGAGTTTTGCATGAGTGAAAGGATGGTATGAGAAAAGTCCTTAGTGCCTAAATGCAAGAATTATTTTGTCTTCAAGGAAGAAGAGATTCTTGATCGAAGCATTTCTAATATTTTTAACTCGATCTGCAACTTCTTTGCCAGTGTTTTCAGGTGTGGATTAAATTACTTGCACATTTAAATGTCTTATTGTGCATAGAAAAAGAAAGGTAATTGATTGTACCTTGAACTGATGGATGCAGAAGGGTGGATAAAGGCAACTAAAACATTGATCAGATGAATAAAGGGAAAACTGATCACCCCTTTTTATAGTGCTGTAAGACATAGGGACAACCTCCCTGTTGAAAATAACAGGTACATTTGGAGCAAGCCCAGGCACTGGCTGTTCTGAAGATATTATGGATGGATATTTGTCAGTCCTGTAAATGGGAAGACAGAAAAGGCTTCAAAAACTACAGCAGCCAACTGCTCTTTTGTACCAAAATCCAGTTTTAAATATTTGCAAATGCTACACTTCTGTGAATCAACTAAGCTTAATCCTTGAATAAAAGGTTATTTTCTTATTTGTGGCAACGGAAGGCAAGGCAAAACTCTGCTGACTTATGCTCAGCCTTGGAGGATCCGAGTGAGTTCAGAAGAGATGACGCTGATGCCCACAGAGGCAGCACTTCTGATACCTTCCCTGTAGGAAAAGAAACCAGAGGAGCACTAGATCCATATGTGCTTGGAAAGGCAAAAAGGTAATTAACTGCATTTTCCTTTGTGGGTATCTACATCGCTGGTTATCTATACCAGAGACATTTCTCCTCTCCCTGTAAATCATATTCAATGTGACTTAAACGTTCAGCTCAGGCATCTCCCAGCCTGAATACCTGCAAGTGGCTACCAACAGCCACCAAACCAGCAGTGCACAGCTGGTGGCTCCCATCTACCACCATCATGGCTCTTCAGAGGGCTCCTTTGGCTTCTGGATCCAGTCCTAGCAGCTTGCAGTATCACTGCTTCCTATGCCAATGGAGAACAGCTCTAGAAGAAGATGCTAGGCCTTTCCTACCACAAAACTGCCAAAAGCTCACAATGAATGCGGCTTGACTCACAAAGACTAGGATCTTGGTACTGCATGCACCAGCTTTGAGACATCACGACGAGCATGTGCAATGAACCATCCTTGGAAGTAGGAAGAGTTCTTTGGTAGAAGACAACCAGTCCCAACAGGAGAGCAAGAGGGAAACATCTCATCAAAAAAAAGGAGTTGTTAGATAAGAGACTTTGATTTGAGACCTTCTGCAGTTAACAGATGTCTCCTACAGCTAAGTGACTAAGCAGATGAACCACGAGGACACTGGCTAGGCTAGGATGTGGCTTTCACAATACTTCCTAGTGGTTCTATCTCATTTGACTCAAGACATGACTAGCAGGAAAGCAGACTTCAAATCTTCCGTGCATTTGGCTAAGACACATTTCGCAAGTCTATTTTCATGAAGTGATTTTCTCTTACTCTCCCACGCAGCTCTTTTACCTAACTAAATCTCCTTTGTGCTGGAGCTCCAAGTCTCACTCTTGGTGGTTTAGAGGGAGAAGAAAAAAGCCTGAGATGGGTCACCCAGGGGGTCTGAACCCATATCCACATCTATCTATACGTAAAACTGTCATTAGGTTCCTATGTAACTGAAGAGCTTTCGAGGATGTTACCGTGTTATTTAGCTATTGGGTTTAAAATCCAAGATAAGCTACTCCTGTCGTGGTATTACTTAGTTTTGTACACCTAATATGCATTTTTTCCACTAAGGACAAGAGGATGACCATTACAAGTTGATTTTAGGATGAATTTATAAATCGTTATGGCATAAGAAGCCTAACTCCTGAGTCTACCTGTCATGAAGTGTATTCTCCATGTCCAGTATTTCTCACCATCTCTGCCCGGCTCCGCCAGCCCCAATTACCCGTGGGGCGCAGGACTTTGCAGCAGGGGCGGTGTGTAGGGGCTGTTCGTCTTCCCTGAAGGCACGATACAGGATTAAATGCCATCTACAGTAACGCTCGTACTTGCAGATGCGTGCCTCGGCGGGAAAAGCGCTGCTGAGTGTTTCTGAAGTGCTGTCTGACCCTCGTGACGATTTTGCTAGCTCTCTCAACTAACGCGAATTGGCACAACTTCTCTTTTTCTGCTCGCTTGTGCCAGTTGAGAATCTGTCCCGCACCATTTATAAAGCTGTTGTGAAAGAGCATTTGACAGTGAATCTGAACTATAAATAGAGTTGGCTTCTCCTCTCCCCTGTGATACAGATAGTATTACCAACAACCCACCACCACCACATTTAGTTATCATGAGACAGGCTTAGAAATTACAGTTTCCCATGAACACACACACACGAGCAGAGATTTTTAAGTACCTTTGGGTCACAAGTCCAGGCCCTTCTCTGGAGGAACAAGGACTACAACTTTTTTTTTTTTTTTTTTTTTAGTAAAAATTAAGCGGTTTTTTTCAGTAATGGAAGGATGCCATCAGCTGAATGCTGTATCACCAAATCCCATCAAACTTGTCATAACATTTTATTAACTAGCAAGATTACTATTACCTCACTACTTCTTATTTGAGGGGAGCAGTGAGTTGCTCAAAAAGAAAATCTAATTGTATTTGAATGCTACGCTCTAAGTAAGCTGTGTTATAATCCACGATCTACAGACTTGATGACCATGCTTTGATTCTCTGTTGCCTGAAAAAGCAGATTGTGTTTTAACTACTTTTTCTAGTTGAGTGAAAAAGCTTGAATCACCAATTAAAACTGAATGACGAGCAAAATAGGCATCTGAGAAATCTATATTAGGCTTCCAGTATTACAAATATAATTACACAATCCCCAGTCATTTGACTGTTTCCCAAACCAGGATTTCACAAATGAACTCTCCACTGGGAAAATAAGTGGGATGATATTTCTGAATATGCTGCAGTTACGCCTGGAGACATCACCCAGTTGAGTAAGGGTGCAAGGAAGATATGCCTGTATGTACCAACAGGAAAAAAAAAAAGTCCTACTCTCCAAAGATCTCAGATTATCAAGCAAGTTTTATCCTAGTTCCAATAATCGGACAGTTTTGAAATAATGCATATACCATAGCACAACAAAAGTGTGTCACAGCTGTGCCCTGTGAAGCGTGAGCTCTGGGTACGTTAATGAGTCAGGAAGGCTACATATTTCTCCCTGCAGCTCATCGCTGCGTCCTGTAAATGCTGGCCCTGAAACCCCAATTTCATGGAGCCTGGAGGGTTGGGTCCATCCTCCTCCTCACC